ATAACTAGTCGTGTGTGCTTGCATTGCAAACCTTGCAAGTATTATGCCTGTAGTTTTGAAATTGTGTTCCATTCTGTGGCTGAGATATTTTAAGTTTACTTTATTTCTTCAAAAACACTCGCGTAATATACATATACATAGATATGTTTTTTCCTAATAAATAATAAGATAAAGCTTAAAATAAGAAAAGTTCTGAAAAACAATTACCAAAAAATACATAATTAAACAAATAATTAGGTTCTTTGAGATCTAATACCTTTTGAGTAATTTATTTTAGAACCTCGCTTTGAGTTATGTCGCATAGAATTGTAAAATACTTTTTACAATAAGCACTCTAAGCGATAAATTACTGTATACGCATAAAATTATTGGCTCATAAAGCATGACTGTAGAATGAGTTAATACTAATGCTAACGTGTATAGTGTTATGTGTATAGAATACGATTTCTATGCAAAAAGTTCCAGATTCGAACCCTGAAAAATGCGATTTCCTACATGAACTTTTTTTAATTGATAATTTATTGATAATTTTATTTTTGTGTAAAACGAAATTAAAAAAGCTTCTCCCTTACGAATCAATATCAGCGAGTTTCCGTTCTAAATATTTTTTTGAAAATACCCTATTTGTAAAAAGTTTAATGCAATAGAATAACATTTTCTTATAAAATTTTGCCCTAAAAATATATTGTCAAGAAGTTTAATGTACACTTATGTTTTGCTTACTAATACATTTTGCAAACAGATCGCGAAAAGAATACATAATTAAAAGCGTACGTACATAATTATTATAAAACAATGTAGATTTTATTAAAGCATTACAATTTTCTTAAAAAGGTGATCACTTTTTGTTATAACTCACACTTTCAAATATGAATTTACATACAATATTTATACCACCAAAAGTAAATAAAAAATTACCCCTACAGGATGTAGTACCATTTTGTAAAAAACAGTTACAAAGCACCTTGGGAAGGGGTGAAGGGGGAGGTTGTGAAGGGGAAGGCGGGTGGAATTTTTGCTTTTTCTGGAACCCTGGAGCCAAAACCGTATCTAATGCCTTTCGTCCCATGTCTCCAGCCCTTCTAGAATAGTACCCGTACTATTTGGTACCTGAGAAGTAGCTATATATATATAATGTAAAATATGATGGTTTTTGATGAGTTATACGAAATATGAATAAAATATAGAATTATGTATAAAGAAAAATTCAAGGTCCTGCGTAGCCTGATGGGTAGCGTAGTGGTCTCATAACCAGAAGGTTATTAGATCAATGCTTGCCTGAATATGGTCGTATTTATGTTTTTTTGGAATATTTTAAAATATTCTTTTTTATTTTATTTAAATTTTTTGTTTTATTTTTTTTTTTAATATATAACAGATAAATGTTATTATAAAGTTTAGAGAAAATTTCCAAAAAAATATTGTTATAAGAGCTAAGTACATAAATACGTATGTATATTTTTTTAAAGCTTCCCATCTAGTTTTTTTAAGCTTCCTATATGAATTGAATAATATTCAAAACTATGGTTTGGCATATAGAAATACATAATAATTATTAAATCATGGGGGTAATATACATAAAGAATTTTTCAAATAAAGGAAAGGTTTAGGCATAGATAAAATAATATTTTTATTCAAATATATGTATGTACATATTAGAATTGAACATTTCAAAATTTTTTGTCCAAAAAATTAGAAATAAAATTTTAAGCATAAACATACATATGTACGTAACTATGAATGTATACCTATTTTTTTAAAACTGCAGGTGAACATATAGAAATCAATTTTTCAAATAATGAAAATGTTTGTGCAAAAATAAAATAATAATTGTATTCAAATATATGTATGTATGTACATATGAATGTAATTTTTCAAATAAAGAAAAGATGTAGGCAAAAACAAAATAATAATTTTATTCAAATATATGTATGTATGTATGTATATATGAATATATGTATGTATGTATATATGAATGGATTAGAATTTAGCATTTTACAGTTTTTCGCTCGAACACTAAAAATAAAATTTTAGGTAGATACATACGTACATATTATGTATATATATTTTTTTAAGCTTGCTGACGAAACATAATATTCAAAACAATAACAAATGAAGCATTAATATTCAGTTGTCACAAAACATCTAATGTCTTTCATAAAAAAGGTGCCTTTGTTATACAAAAAATTTTTGAGAAAATGTTAAAATATATGTACATAGCTATTTCGGAGCTAAAAAGTTCCAATGTCAGATTTTTCTGGGATCCTGGAGGCAAAACTCTATCTAATGCCCTTTGTCCCATGTCTTTAGCCCTTCTAGAAATACCCGTACTTTTTACCACCTGAGAAGTAGCTATATATATATAATGTAAAATATGATGGTTTTTGATAAGTTATAGGTTATACAAAATATGAATAAAATATAGAATTATTAAGCGAAATTCAAGGTACTGCGTAGCCTAGTGGTTAGCGTGGTAGTCTCATAGCCAGAAAGTTATTGGATCAATGCTGGATGTCGTCGTATTTTTATTTTTTTGCATTATTTTAAAATTTTTTTTTTATTTTGTTTAAATTTTGTGTTTTATTTTTTTTTAATATATAACAGATTAATGTTATATAAAAGTTTAAAGAAAATTTCCAAAAAAATATTCTTATAATAGTTTGGAAAAATTCGCAAAAATTTTAAGTACATAAATATGTATGTATGTATATTTTTTTTAAAGCTTCCTGAGTAATTTTTTTAAGCTTTCTATATGAATTTAATAATATTCAAAACTGTAGAATATATAGAAATAAATTTTAAACGCATAATTATTAAATCATGGGAGTAAACTTACAAAAATTAATTTTTCAAATAAAGAAAAGGTTTAGTCAAAAACAAAATAATAATTTATGTATGTAAAAATATATGTATGTATGAATATATGAATATATGTGTGTATGTATATATGAATGGATTAGAATTGAAGATTTTAAAATTTTTCGTTCCAACATATGAACGTATGTACATATGAATGTATTAGAATCGAAAATTAAAAAAGAAACAAAAACAAAATAATAATTTATGTATGTAAAAATATATGTATATATGTATATATGAATACATGTGTGTATGTATATATGAATGGATTAGAATTGAAGATTTTAAAATTTTTCGTTCCAACATATGAACGTATGTACATATGAATGTATTAGAATCGAAAATTTTGAAATTTTGCTGTTGGAAAAATTAGAAATAAAATTATTAACACAAACACACGTTATTATGAATGTATACCTAGTTTTTTTAAAACTGCGGGTGAACATATAGAAATAAATTTCTCAAATAAAGAAAAGGTTTAGGTTAAAATAAAATAATAGTTGTATTCAAATATATATATGTACATATGAATGTAATTTTTTTAAATAAAGAAAAGGTTTAGGCAAAAACAAAATAATAATTTTATTCAAATATATGTATGTATATATAAATGTATTAAAATTTAGCATTTTACAGTTTTCCGTTTGGAACAATAAAAATAAAATTCTAACTACATACGTACATACATATATTCTGTATGTACATATATTTTTTTAAAGCTTGCTGACGAAACGTAATGTTCAAAACAATAACAAATGAAATATTAATATTCAGATGTCACAAAACATCTGATGTCTGATAAAAGCTGACATTTATTTACGTTAAGATTAATTCTTTTATCCGAAACAAAAATATGTGAGATCATTATATTTTCAAATATTATTTATTTCTCGGTTTTTGTTTCTAATAATAAAAATAACGTAAAACGTATCATTTATTACTTGGTTTGTGTTTCTAATTATAAAAAGTATAAAAGAAAAACGTGCTTTTGTTATACAAAAATTTTTTCAGAAAATCTTAAAATAGAGCTATTTCGGGGCTAAAAAGTTCCAATGTCAGATTTTTCTGGGACCCTAGAGGCAAAACCCTATCTAATGCCCTTTGTCCCATGTCTCTAGCCCTTCTAGAAGTACCCGTAATTTTTACCACCTGAGAAGTAGCTATATATATATAATAAAGTAAAATAGGATGATTTTCGAAGAGTTATACGAAATATGAATAAAATATAGAATTATTAAGGAAAATTCAAGGTACTGGGTAGCCTGGTGGGTAGCGCGGTAGTCTGATAATCAGAAGGTTATTGGATCGATGCTTGCCTGGATATTGTCGTATTTTTCTTTTTTTGGATTACTTTAAAAAAAAAGTTTTTTTTAATTTTGTTTAAATTTTTTATATATATAATAGATAAATTACATTATAAAAGTTTAAAAAAAATTTCCAGAAAAATGTTGTTATAATTGTTTGGAAAAATTTAAATTACATACAACAAAAAAAAACGTGCTTTTGTTATACAAAAATTTTTTCATTAAATCTTAAAATAGAGCCTTTTTTCCCATGTCTCTAGCCCTTCTAGAAGTACCCGTACTTTTTGACGACTGAAACGTAGCTTTATATGGGGGTTTTCGTTTATTCAATTCTAGAATAGTTCTAGTTTGTGGTTCGAAAATTCACGCTACATACCCTAAAAATATAGATCGTTCGAAAATTATTGGCTGCAATAAAGTGCGTTCGAAAATGCAATCTGCAATAAAGAAATGTTAGAAATGCAGCACAGACGTCTAGTATAAATTTTGCTGCTGCCTCATAAAATTTTATTTTTTTTTTTAATTAAAATTCAAAAAAAAAATTAAATTTTTTTTGAATTTAATTTTAAAAAATTAAATGTAAAGATTCAGATATTGAAGGGGTATTAAAGTAAATTTTCTTTAAGTTTGAAACCATCTAACCTCTGTAAAAGCCAAAAAGCCTTGAAGATTTCTGAAAGCTTCCTTCGAGAATTTGTCTTGAAATCGATTCTTTTGCGAAAAATATGGATATTTTTCGTGTCGCAATATATTAAATATGAACAACAATATCAACACGACTGTGACGTAAAGACAAATCGATACGACTAGCTTTTTTATATTATTAAAATAAAGTACCTTGCAAAACATGTTTGACATTCGTAAGGTTTTTCTCCAGTGTGAATCCTGTTGTGTTTCTTCAAACTATGCTTTTTTGTAAAAGTTGATCTGTAGGTTAAAAAGAAATGTTAAAATTATTTGTAAGATCTGTTAAAATATAAAATTTACATATACACAGTCAATTAATAAGTTATCGAATTCGATACGCGTCAATAAAGTTGCCCGTTACCTATATAAATGAAAAATCTGGGAGCGAAAACGAGTATGTCTTCATACATTCAACAGGCTGTAACTCGAAAACGAATGTCTGCTATATATGTTACAATGCATTAGTTGGTAGCACGGCTTACAGAAATACAGGCCTGAACCCTAAGAGAGTGTGGCAGTTCACAGCTAACGAATTTACATGAATTCTTATGGGATCTATAGAGTGACGTTTTTAACATCATGAATCTCCCACAAGATCAACTTTTTTTAAATTTTTAATTAAAAAAGTTAAAATTTAATTCTTTTTTACTTTACTAGTGCTTAATTTTTAAACTTCTGCGTTACTAAAACATTAAAAAGTTGGTTAAAAATACTTTCCAGGCTCTGTTAATTTTTTTAAGATTTGAATAAATGCCACACTACAAGAAAAAATAATAGTGCAATGAATAGAACAAAAGGATTTTATACCCCCGGTGGTAATCCAGTAAATCTGGAAAATCCACACTCTTCGGAGGCTGGTCTCGCGGATTCTGGGGGAAGACCAATTATTGCATCAAACTACTACTATCAACCCTTTTAAAAGAACACCTGGGGTCATGCGGACACCACTATGTGGTAAAAGCAAAAAAAATATGCCCAAAGGCCACAAATACAAAAAAAAAAACCAATATGAGTGTAGTTAATGAAATAAAGGATTAGAAAGCTGATAATTGCCATTTAAATATAAGAATAAGTGAGCCAGAAGCGCTTTGTAAAAAATTAAAAAATGAAATCCAGTATCTCAGAGAGGAAAATAACAAGCTAAAATTGGAGTCAAGCATTGTAAATGCAATAAAAGAAATAAATACGGAAAAAGTTGCGACAAACAAAGTGGAATGCTGCACAGACGAGGAGGATTTGGCTCAAAAGCAAAAAGCGAAGAGCAGATATGTCACCTGAAATAAGTCCTAACTACAAGGTGAGCAAAATAGAAATATCTGTGCAGATAAATGCACTCCAAGAAAGATCAAACCCCCCCCCCCCCCCCCCCTGTTAAATTAAGCAATGTGTATAAAAGCCAAAATAAACTTTAGGGTCAACATGATTAATAATAATCAACTTAAAATCAATGCTGAACAAGAATAAGATTACAGAGAATTACCAAAAAAAAATTAATCTAAAGTAGAGTGGCATACCTACGAAAATAAAATGACAAGACCCATCAAGGTGATGGCTTGAATGGCTTGCATCCTTCGTACCAACCTGAAGATATTAAAAATGAGCTAAAAGAGAGGGACTTTAAAGTTATTGAAGTCGTTAATAAAATTATAAAGCAGAATAAAGGAAACAAGATCACTATGATCTGACTTCCCTCTTCATGTTAATCTTTGAAAATTCAGAGGACATAAATAAAATTTACAAAATTGATGTACTTCAGCACATGAAGATTAAAATTGAATCAATGAGGAGGAACAATTTAGTTACCCAGTGCAGAACATGTCAGAGATATGGGCACACACAGAGGTTTTGCCAGCGTTTAGCACAATGTGTCAAATATGCTGGTTCTCATTTGACGACAAATTGTAGTATGCAAAAAATCCAAGCTCCAAAGTGTGCAAATTGACTTGAGGCATATCCTGCGATTCACAGTGGTTTTATAGTCGCAAAGTAATTACAGAAAAGAAAAAATAACCTTACAAAACAGAAACAAATAAAAATAATACCAAAAAATACTCCCAAAACACCAAAAACCCCAAAAAAGCAACATTTAATAAAAGAGTGCAGGAAATAAAATACACCCAAGTGGCGAGGGGTGAGACATACAACCATACTAAAAAACGAAGAAATTTACCATCTCAAAAACCTACTGAAAGCAATATAAATATAATGCAAATATTCAAAATATGATAAAAACCATGAACGAAATCTCATTGAGATTGAACAGATTAGAAGAGAAGCATGATAATGTTTATGTATGTACGCCAAAAAGAATAAAAAATAATGGACGAAGAAAATATAATAATTGCGACGTAGAACGCAAATGGCGTTCTTAATAAAAAGCGTGTATTGAAAATATTCCTAAGGACCCAAAATATTGACATATGTTTAAGACACACTTAAAACAGCAAATATAGATATTGATGATATTTAAAACCAAATATTGATATATGTTTAACAGAGACACATTTAAAACAGCAAACAGATATAAAAATAAATGGCTACACAGAATATAAAGCGGCGCATCTTAATACGGAATCAAAAGATAGTTGTGCGATTTTGGTAAGGAATAATATAAGACATAATAAAATATGTAAATTAGAAAAATGCGATAGCCAATTTGTTGCTGTATGAAGAGAGTCTTATAAACAAAATTTCGATGTTGGTGTACTTTACTGTCCTCCGGAACGTGTTATAAAGAGTGGTTCATTCAAAGATCTCCTAAATCTCCTTAAAGAAAGGATTATTCTGGGAGGTGACTATAATGCCAAAAATATTGATTGGGGTTCTAGATTGATCTCAACAAGAGGTAGAGAGCAAAGAAAAACTTTTAAAGAGATTGATTGTCACAACCACTCCACTGGTACACCAACATATTGGCCAAGTGGTAGAAATAAGATACAAGATCTGCTAGACTTCTTTATTGTCAAGAAAATCTCGCCAAATTTTATTAGTTTAGAAGATAATTATGATTTGGATTCGGATTATTCTGCAGTTATATTAAAGTGAACTGAGACAGTTGCCGAGAAATAAAATAGGCTCATGTTGATTAATAAATTCACTGACTGGACTAGTTTTAAAGAAGAGATAGAGAAAACAATAAACTTAAAAATTAAAGTACGAACCCAACATGATTTGGATTCTGAGGCAGAGAATTTTAATGAAATCATATAAAGCTGTGCCTGGAATGATACAAACCAATTTGAGTATAAATTCTTGGGTATGACTTACCCAAGGGAAATACTGAATATGATAAGCGAAAAGAGAAGAGCTAGACACAGATGGCAAAAGTCACGAAATCCGGCAAATAAAACCGCACTCAATCGACTCACTCAGAATCTAAAAAGAAAAATAAGAAAAATTGAAGAAGATTCACTCGATAATTACATTAAAAATTTGTCAGCCGAATAAGAAAGTAATTATTTTTAATGAAGGACTGCAAAAAATATTAAAAAGCCAATTTTACATGTCATCCTATTAGGGAAACGGATGGCAAATGCGCAATAGAAAATAAGGGTAAGGCTGAAATATTTGCAGATTATTTTGAACAAATTTTTAGGCCAAATAACATACACTCAAACATGAATATTGCAATGGGAAATGTGAGAGCAGAAAACGTTACCGCTCCATTTGTACAAAGAGAAATAGTGGAAGAAATAAAAAGTTTAAAGTGAAAGAAAGCACCGAGTTATGATTTGATTACCTTTGAGATACTGAAGCAATTACCAAAAAAGGGTATAACAATGTTGATTTTTTTAATGAATGCTGCATTAAGGTTAAAATATGTGCCTAATGCTTGGAAGGTTGCAGACGAACTGCAATTATGGCAGTAGCATAATTGCAGTTCTCGGCTCCTTGTTATCCGAGATTCTCCCAGAAGGATAAAGAGAACTTTGCTTTCTGTTTTATCGCAAAATGCTCTTCACCAAATCGGGGAGCGTTGAATCTTTTCCCATCTATCAAGAAAATTTGATAGTTGGTCTACTATGGGGACTAGTATCAGAGTATAAGGAGGAGGTTTTTGCAGTAAAACACATGTTTATAGCATTCATGCTTTCCTCCTTCCTTCGATGAAAAAAAAAATTTTCGGAGTATTAAGTTGATTTTTGTGCATTTTTTCAAATTTGAGAAGTTGTATATGTATTAGATATTAACAATTTTGCAAATTATGCATGAATAATGTTTTCCACAATGCATACTTCTTATATAATTACATATTATATATTTATACATTTTTCTTGTAAATAAATTAGTATGCTTCATAATTCATGAAAATTATTGCATATGTGTATTCTTTTTGTATTAAAAATTATATTTGTAATTCTTTTTAGGTATGAATGTGATTTTAGTTATATTAGGAAATATTATCACATTGTAGGAAAGTCTAATTCACTGATTTACCTACCGCATTGGAAACTTTTTTTCATAATGATTTCAAACGACACATTTTTCATAATGATTATAAAATTATAAAAGCACTATCACAATTATCATTAAAACTTAAAATCAAAAAATTACAAACTTAAATTTGAAAATTAAAAAATTAAAATAAAAAACAAATTTTTAGGTTAAGAAATAAATATGTATTCAATTTGAAATATTAATACTAAATAAATATGTATGCATTGTGTGCCATTGTGTATAAATATGTATATGACATAATATGTATTTCATAAAATGTCATGTAGTTGGGTGGGTTTGTAAATTTTGTAAAGGAAATCGTTTTTGAATTTGCGTATTAACGTACGTTCAAACGTACTTATATAACGCAAGGGAAAAATTTATATAAAATGAAAAACGGTATTTAAATTTTTTTATATATCGCACATCGCGAGTATGTATATCGAGGTAAACCTGTACATAATTTTTTTCGAAACAACTAACAAAGTGTGCTTTGCTTTTTTTTGTCCTCGAAAAATTGGCAAAAACACTTTTTTTCTCCAGAATTCTGTAATAAGTAAAAATAGACAATATTTAAGAATATTTTTCCATAATTTATCTATCGGAAAAAAATTTGTAATATGTATATGTATGTAAAAAAATTCAATTTGCTTATTTTAAATTTTAAATTGAAATGTGAAAAAAATTCATTGTCATTGTTGTTCTAAATTGAATTTGACAAATAAAATTCAAGCTGTTATCATAAAACTGTAAAATTTAAAACTTGTAATAAACCCTTGTAAAACGTATTCATATAGATGATT